AAATTCTTTACACAATAAATAATGTGTAACTGTAAATAGTTGAAATAATTGGTAGCTAATTTTGAGACTACATTAATAAAAAATTGTTAGTAAAATATCATAAAATTTAAAAATAAAAAAAGTAAATTTAAACCAATATGAGTCCAAAAATGTAATGTAAATTGCATTATCCAATATATTTTGAATATTTGAATAATTATTGTCTAATGGCACACAGATCATGATATAGTCATTGATGATTTACATCTAATGTTTAAGCAACAAACACAATTTTAACTATGCACATTCTTTCACACCTATATATGTGGGGAAAAAAATCTTTCTACACTATTTTAATAATTTTACAATTGGCATCATCCACATCAACCCAAATGCCCTTAAATGTGCAAATGATAGTTAATCTTTATAATAAACAAGTACTTGTGACCTTTGCACTTTTGATTTGAATTTTGAAACGTTGGATTCTTGAATCAGTTCAATCTTAAATACATAAAAGGGAACTAAATTGGTTAACATTAGATATTGTATTGATTATTTCGATACTTTAAGTTAAAAAATTAGGAAAAACATGAGAGAAATCTTGTAATTGGTATAAGTATTTGTTAGGAATGGTGAGCGACTGGCTGAGAATGTAGGGAAAGGAGAGACAAGTAAGAGTAGTGGAAAGACATCACATATTAATTCAAAATCTTAAAGCTTAAGTTTATATGTCATTCTTCTTTATTTTATATTAGTGATTAAGATCAACTTTATTTAATATAGGACTTCTCACATTATATTAGTCTTCTCGTACTTGGACAACTTAAGAATCTCTCCCTTAAGTGTGAGTCTACAAACTTCCAATATCAAAGCTCCTCAAACACCAGGTCCTTGCACTAGGGATAAGGGCCAGTCCGACTTTTTTGAGTTTTCAAATGACATGATGCACACAAGTCCTTATTATAATCAATCAGTCTCATTTTGGGCATCAAATATGTGGGTAATAATAAGCTTTTAGGTCTTGAACGACATCAAGTTTTGATACTACTTGCTAAGAAGAGAGAATGACCACTTAAGAATGGAGGGAGAGAAGAGACAGACAAGAGTAGAAGAAGGATATCACATCTTAACTCAAGAGTATAAGAATTAATAGCTTTCCATTAGAACTCAACAGTTGAGAAATGCGTTTACATTACATTTGTTTACTCAGCAAGAAAAGAACTAAAGGTACTCTATCCAATGAAGGAGGCACTTTAGATCTTTAAAATAATTAATAGTATAAGTTCCTATGAACCACCACCCTCCACTTAACACTTGTTATAAAATTAATTTAACTAAAATATTAATTGATAGAGAAAAATTAATTTAATTTAATTTCAAATTTAAGGATCATTCCAAAGATTGTCACAATAACGGGCTTTCAGGTTTGAGCCAAAATCAGGTTCTAATTCACTTTTTAAGAGGAGAGAATGATCACCTAAGAATGGGAGGAGGGGAGAGACGGACAAAGATATCAGAAAGATGCAACATCTTAACTAAAAACCTTAAGGCTCTGATACTACTTATGGTCTTCACCTCCACCTTGGAAGTAAGTAACTTTGAAGCATTTTTTATTATGCCATTCAAAACTTTAATTATGGCACCAGTCATAGCATGTGCCTACTTTAACGACACATCTTGGGCTTCTAGTCTCCTAACCTGAACATTTAACAAGATACCACAATTATGCCCGAAAAAATAAAAATCTTAACCCAAAAATGTGTCCTCTACAAACTTCTAAAAACAGAATCATTAAGCTTCTAATGTATTTAAGGAGTAAAAAACTCATAAAAGTAAATTGGGGTAAGGGTTTAGAATTCGAAATCAAAAGTTCAATAAAGAGTGAAGCAAAGTGTAACATGTCAACAAGAATTAATAGCTTCCATTAGAACTCAATAGCTGAGAAATACATTTACATTACATTTTTTTCGTTAGCGGGAAAAGAACTAAAGACATTATATCTAATGAAAGAGGCACTTTAGATTCTCAAAATAGTTACTAGCATAAATTCTTATGAACCACCACCCTCCACTTAACACTTGTTATAAAACTAATTTAAATAAAATATTAATTAATAGAGAAAAATTAATTTAATTTAATTTTAAATTGAGAGTCATTTCAAAGATTGTCACAATAACAGGTTTTCTGGTCTCAGCCAAAATCAAGTTCTAATACCACTTGTTAGGAGAAAGAAATGACCACTTAAGAATAAGGGGAAGGGGAGAAATGGGCAAGAATAGCAGAAAGATGTAACATTTTAACTAAAAATCTTAAAGTTCTAATACCACTTGTAGTCTTTACCATCACCTTCAAAGTAAGTGACTGTGATACATTTTTCATTATGCCATTCAAAACTTCAATTATGGCACCAATGATAGCATTTGCCTGCTTTGACGGCACACCTTGCACTTCTAGTCTCCTAACCTGAACATTTAACAAAATACCACAATCATGCTTGAAAAAAATAAAAATCCTAGCCCAAAAATGTGTCCTCTACAAACTTCTAAAAAACAGAATCATTAAACTTCCAATGTATTTAAGGAGGAAAAAACTCATCAAAATAAATTGGGGTAAAGGTTCAAAATTTAAAAATAGGAGTTCAATCACAAGATAAAAAAAAGTGAAGTAAATTACAAGAGCTAACATGTTAACAAGAATCAATAGCTTTTCATTAGAACTCAACAGTTGAGAAATGTGTCTACATTATATTTGTTTAGTCAATAGAAAAAGAACTATTGGTACTCTATCCAATGAAAAAGGCACTTTAGATCCTCAAAATAGTTATTACCATAAGTTTCTATGAACCACCACTCTTTACTTAGCATTTATTATAAAACTAATTTAAATAAAATATTAATTGGTAGAGAAAAATTAATTTAATTTAATTTTAAATTGAGGATCATTATAAAGATTATTACAAAAGTCCAGAAAGAGAGAGATTTTGCATCATTTGTTATATTGCTACATTTTTTATGTTGCCAAAATTTTTAAGCAATGCTTAACATCTTTGTCAGATATGGCTCATATTTGTAAAGTCATTAGAGATTAACTTATATATTATCATCTTTTATTGTAAAATTAATGTTTGATATTTAAGAATTAAATATTTCTTTTTTATTAAATTTATTTGAACTAAGATATATTGAGTTATTTATTTATGTAAATTAAAATTGTCAATATTAATATAATTTAAATTTTTATAATTAATCAAATATATAATTTAAATAAGATATTTTACTTTTTAAATAAAATTTAAAAAATTTAATAATATTAGATATAAATTTATTAATAATTTACTTTTGAAAAGCAATGTTCTTTATGGTAATTTATATAGCTAAAATTAATTTTGAACAAATTATTCAAATATGTTTAATTTTGTTAAAATTAATTTTAAAAAAATAGTATCCAAATAAATTATATTATAACATAATCAATTATGATTAAAATCAACTATTAATCAATTATTTTCAAAATTAATTATATTCAATTGAATTTAAACGGATCCTAAATTGGCCCATAAGCACTTGGGGTCAGATTTTAAATCGTGATCCAATGAACCCAATAGTGATCTATTCACTAAAATTAACCCAATAAACTTGGATTAATTTAATACAGAATTTATTTTATTAATTCTAATTTAAATTTTACGATGTTAAAGTGAATTGAAAAATGTGTTTACAATTGAAAAGGAGCCCATTTATTGCACACCATCAGGGCCCAAAAATAAAAACCAACATCCGCGAAAACTGTTCAATGTGGATTCATCTGTTTTTCTTTCATTCCCAGCATCAAACACTTGCAATCGGGTATTAAAAAACAAAAAATACTTTCTTCATATTTTCAAAGGTGTATAATAAATATAAATATATGATCGAATCTATGAAACTATATCATAAAAGAATAGTTGGGCAATTAAAAAGCTATTCCAAAGCCCAATTCCCTCAGGCATGTTGCCCGCGCTTAACCAAGCAAATGCAATATGCAGTTACTTGCCACCACTAATATTGTGCTTTTATCAAACGTATTCAAAATTATTTCACAAACAAAGTGTTTAAACCTGTATCAAATCGCTTCAGTCAACTCAAAACCAAATTCAGCTTATTATAACATATATGTATACATATAAAGATTAAGAAAAAAAATCAATTTGCCACTTTTCAACGTTAATTTACAACTTTAGTTATGCATTATATTTGATTTAATCGGCTTGGTCTAAAATCAATTCAACCATAACCTGTTGACGATGGTTGAAAATATATTATAAGCAAATGATATAATAATAATAACAACAAGCCTTATTCTATTAAGTGAGGTCAGCTATATAGAGTATATGATATTATTATACTCTATTATTTATTAAGCTTTTAGAAATATTATAAGCAAATGATAATATAATATATTTGAATATTTTTACTAACATGTTGAAATTGATTTTGTTACTAATCAATTCAATAGGATATAAGTACAATTAAATTAAAATTTTAAAAAATAAATTTAAACCAAATGGGCCAATATTTAATTCAATCACTTCAATTCAAGTTTATTTTAGTTTAGAATCAAGAATGAAATGAGCACATGGAAATTCTATTTTTCAATGACGTACTATATATACAGAGTTTAGGAGGGGGAAAACAATAGAAGGCTCTGGTCTAGTGGGCTTCGTGGAAATTAGAGGGAAGCATCGTAGAAATTTCTCAGCATTTTGGGGGTGGGTGAAGTCGAGTAATATCAAGTGTTATGAGTAAGCGAACAAACAAGTACAGGACATGAAAAATGGAGCTTGATCCGATTACATGATGTGCTCATGAGGAGAGCGCATCATCATCATCATCAATGTTATGTTATTCCCATGGATGAAAAGAACCTTCGGGGAAAGTTCCCGCTGAAAATGACCGTACAAACTGCGAGTTCATTTGGCTAAAGTAGGAAGATGGGATGGGTGCCATATTCCTTGACATATATAAGAACCAACTCTGGCAATGGGATTCACATCAGCAAACTGAAAGTGAGAAATATAATGGAGATTGAGGAAGTAGGCAGTCACGAAGCACTTCCCCTGCTGTCACTAAATCACGTGTCTCTGCTATGCAGATCCGTGTGGGACTCCGTGAGGTTCTATGAAGACGTCCTGGGCTTCGTTCTCATCAAGCGTCCCTCTTCTTTCAAGTTCAATGGCGCCTGGTTAGCTACTGCTCCTTCTCTTCTGTCAAATAAACCAGTATGCATCAATCATCTGTCTATCTATGAATCGATGCCTTTGATATTTATTGCACAGGTTGTACAATTATGGTATTGGGATTCACCTGATCGAGAACCCAGACATCGGCGATCAGTTCGAGGCGTGCATGAACGAGCTGCGGCCCATCAACCCCAAGGATAACCATATCTCCTTCCAGGTAAGCTTGCAATAATGCATCATTTATGCACATACACAAGCACATACATGCATAGCTTACGGCGACGGAAGCTGAGTTGGTGGTGTGATGGCAGTGTACGGACGTGGAGGTGGTGAAGAGGAGGCTGGAAGAACTGGGGATGAGGTACGTGACGGCGGTGGTGGAGGGGGACGAAGACAGCAAGGTGGATCAGGTGTTCTTCCACGACCCGGACGGGTACATGATCGAGCTCTGCAACTGCGAGAATATCCCCATCCTTCCCATCTCGTCCTGCTCCTTCAAGCCTCGTGCCCAGAGCTTTGGCTTCAAGAAGGCTCCCGCCAAGTGCGGATTGTTCATGGAGAATGTCATGATGGAGAGCTTGAGCATGCACTTGTTGAACTTTTCCTTTTAATTCGTAACCTATCATTCCAAATTCACAAGATATTTACTTGTTTGTTGATTAATTCTAGCATGTCCCGGAGTGTATTTGTGCATGTGGTTTGTAAGTAAACTGCAGACCAAAACAAAGAAAAATACGTATTGTCTTTGCTCAGTTTGCAACAAATTCTGATATATACGTTTGATGTTCTTGTGCTGTAATATCTACCCTGTAGTACTACCAACACAGTTCTGGTTTCCGCTGCTTGTTGAACATATAAATTTGGGTGGATGAATTTGCATGTAAAGTTAAATCACTTAGATAAACCTCTGAGGATTGAAATAAGACAATTTAGACTGAGTAGTTACCTGCCTATGTGGATCGTTAACTTCCTTTGCAATTAAAACAGTTTTATTCACGACTAGGAAAATAAAATTTAGGGGGGGGGGGGGGGAACAAATCCCATACTAAATGTCATTTTTCTTAATTAAATTATATTTAGTGAGGAATTTTGTTACTAACTAAATTCATAATTTCAAAAGAACTTGCTAAATGCAGTGAGAAATTATATTTTCCTTATTAATTTAGCGAGAGACTGAATCCCTCGCTAATATTATTCAAAATTCGATAATTTAGCGAGGTATTAGTTCCTTACTAATTATAAAGGGTATCATAAATTAAGACTTAATTATCAGACTAACTATAGTAAATTTAGGACTAATTCAAAATGATTATCCTATAAGAGATTAACTTAAACAAATTCTTAACATGTATTTTCACAAACGATTCAACACAAAGGAATTCCAAATCTTTAAAATTTGAAGAATTTATATCATTCAATTAGACATATGTGAAAGCATGGTAAAGGAAACATATCAATATGGGAGAAAAGCTTCCCCCCTTTATTTTCTCTCTATGCCTTACTCTATAATACATATATACATATTTATAACATAACATTGGGCTACTCAAACCCTTTCATAATTGATAACAGGGGTCAAAGTCTCAATCACATTTATCACGATGACTATTACTTAATCATCATACTCTATATATCATCTATTCATCAATAGCCCATTGTATGCATGAATTTTCCTTTTCATTCACATATAATTAATATCAACTGTTCACCCTTAGACATCAAAAACACAAGGGGAGACCATAATAACATTCAAGTTCTTAAATTAAGCAAATATTAACTATTTTTACTTGCACAAATATTTTAGCTTGTTAATATAGCACAAGCATCAAACCACACTTCTCAGGGCCCAAAATACATTTTCACCCAACACAAAACCCATAATGCAAGTGGATTAAGAATATATTATCTTAATTGACAATATCATAAACTAAATACATATATCAAAATAAAAAAAGAAAGGCCTACAGAAGTAATTACTATCACTTGGCCTGATGCTTCTTTCCTCTGTTCTTCTGAAATGAGTTAGCTCCTGTAATATATTAAAAAAGAGGGGTGAGTGCAACCACTCAATAACCAAGGTACATCTAAGTTATACAAATGCATAATAATTAATCATGAATACTGGTGGCTAATAAATTTATCAAGGTGACCATGTAAACAATGACATTAATAACATGTTAATTATATTAACATCTAACTCATGTGAATAATCTCAAGAGTAAAGTCAAGTATAAAATTTGTGCAAATGGCCACATATACATTATTTGCATAATTACTACATGTTCTCATTTCTACAATTATAATTATATTCTCAACATAGCCATCAATCACTCAAATGACATGATAATAATAATATATATGATTAATCTCTTCCTTTCCTACTTATTTCCTCTAACATGAAATCTGTGGGCCAACAATTGAAAGGGATCGTCCATATGGTGAGATTACCTAAGGCCTTAATTATATCGTGAGGGGCTATCGGGTCAGGGTTACCTTACTTGCTTATGAATACGGTTTCATCCAAATCACACACTATGGGATGTCATATCCAAAACTAGCTCTACTCAAAACTCCAAATAGGTCAGTAGGGTCAAGTTCCTTAATAGGAACAATACTACAGTACCTTACAAGGTAAGTAGTGGCTATAACTCTTAGGATTATTGGTTAATAGCCAAGTACCATATGGATTTTGTATAACTGCTAACTCCTTCACTAAGGTGAACTCCTGCCATATGATCATGCTCCTGAAAAAATGTATTTCAAAAGCTCATATATATATAATTCACAATTATCCCATATGCTCATCAACTTTCTTACTCAAGAAGTATTAAGAATCATCATTTTTTTCAATCATGCCTCTTGCATCAATTTTATATTACCACATAACCTACATTAACATTTTATAAAACTCAACATGCTCATATACAATTCATTACTATGCAAAATTCATAATTTATAACCAAGAGTGTACACATCATCATCAACCATCAATCTCATTACTCACATCAAGTCATAATTAACTTGATCACAAATCATATAATCTTAATAAAGCCACATGCATTACAAACAACTATTTTAAAATTTAGACACACACACACACACACACTCTTTTATTTCACCAACATAATTAATTAACATATAAATGCATAAAATAAATTTTTCTCAGTTACCTCAACCTTTGAGAGGTTAAAGATTACCCCTCAAGTTACAACATTTTCAAAGCTTTCTAACGTTTGAATGGTGTCAAAAGAAAATTAATATACAATTGATCATATTCCAATGTGTCAATAATATTATTAACACAATTTTCACTCATACTCTAACACTCAAGTATTTATTTTATTTTATTTTATTTTAAGATATTAATCTTAGCCTCTTGAGTACTAAAATTTAATTTCATGTATTTGAATCTATCTACTTAATTCAATAGTCTCCTTCACAATAATTTCATTGAAGTTTGGCTACAAAATATCATTCAAATACTTTTTTAATATCAAAATTTTTCTTTTTATTCTAAAAATTCGCACATAAAAATACTCAAAAATTACAAAATTGATTTCACACCTAGAATCATTATTATATAGTTATAATAATTTATTTCTTATCTTAAATAATCATCTAAATATTAACAAATCAATTTATATTTTTAGATTTAGTCAAAAATTAATTTAAAAAATAGTGTCAGTCCTATGGCTTGCTCCTCATCTTTTCTTTTGTCTTTTGTTAACACATCACACACGCCGAATTGTCTGCCCCATCCGTTCATTTCATGTTTTTTATATATTTTATAATCATTTTCCTTCTTTCTTTTCTTTTATTCTATATATGTACACGTTAAACACGCGCACACACACCCCAACGTCCGCGTTACTGTTCCCTTTTTTTATTTTATATATTCCTTTTCTCTTTTATTAATAATAAAATAATAATGATGATACAAAATCTATTTTCTAAAAAAAATCATAACTTAAAATTTGAATTTATACTAAATTGAATCCAACAATAATCTCCTAACTAAAATTATTTATATTTAAATATTCCTCTAAAATTATTCATTTGTCCTTGATTAACTTAATTAATCTTGGATTAAATTTCATGTTACACTAATCTCTCACTAAATATGATACTACATCACCTGTCATATGTGCATCAACTTGTGACATGTCACCAATAATCTTGTACTTTGTCAACTGCCATGTCACCTACCATCTCATGTCCCATCAGTCGCCACATGCGTGACAACTCATGACACGTCATTGTTCACCTTATGCCATGTCACTTGCTCCTTACCATGTCATATATTCATTATGTTTATGCCAAAACTAAGACTTGAACTCTAGACCTCATGCCTTCCAAGTTTTATACTCTCCTTTTTTGTCAATTGAATTGAAAGGTACCTGCAGTTATTATATAAAAAATTAAATATATATTATTTAACTACATAAATATATCAAATAATATATTATAAAATACACACATATATGCATATTAAATTTTATTTTTAATTATTAATATGTTAACAATATTTATATTTTATTTAATTTATTCTTTATATTATTTTTTAATAAAATATTATTTTATTAATGAAAATCAACTTAAAATAAAGAAAATATTAAATATTAAATGATTTTATTATGAATATTTTAGTTGATTTTTATTTTTAAATAAAAATAATTAAATATATAATTAAAAGTTATTGCTAAAAGTTAATTTTTTTTTGCAATAATTAGTTAGGGAAAGAATTTCTTGCTAAATTCCTCGCTAATTATCTTATTTTAGATGAGATTAGCAGTTTCTCGCTAATTGTCTTATTTAGAAAGTGATTGACAATTCTTTACTATTTTTCTCACTAATTCTCTTATTTTAAAGAGTGATTAGTAGTCTCTCATTATTTTTCTCACTAATTCTTTTATTTTAAAGAGGGCTTGATAGTCCCTCGCTAATTTTAAGTCAAGCTACGAAATTAATATTCTTTACTAATTTTCTCATTAATTAAGTATTTTAGCAAGGAATAGATAATCTTTCACTAATTTACATTTTTCTACTAGTGATTGCTTTATAAGATAATTGGTGTGACTCCTACATTGCGTAAAATTTGATAATTGAGTCATATATCATTAATGGTTTATGAATGATGGAGAATTTGAGCCATAAGTTGTATGTTGCTTTTATTATAAATATTATATTATGGATGTTCATAACTCATAACCCTTAGAATTTTTTTATCCTTAATATCCTCATAAATGGTATAGAAGGAGTTTCTAGTTTTAATAGCTTATAACCTTCAAATGTTACATAATATGCCATTATAGGACTCATTATATCTTTGTAATATTAGGGTAGGACTTGAATGGTTGAAGGCCTATAAATAGAGGTCATGTCCAAAGCATATGTATACTAATGAATAAGAATACTCCTTCATTGTTTTCTCTCCATTTCTTGCATTATCTTGTCTATCTCTACTCTTTATATTAACTATATTTTACAACACGTTATCAGCACGAATTGGCTCTGAAAATAAGGTATGAGCTTTTAGTTAGATTAATGTGTTCTTATATTATATATATAACTATATTTTATATTATTGTTTTATTAACATTCATGGTTATGTTGTTCTTATATTTTATTATTTTATTTTCCTATCATTTCATTTTCTTAGTTATGAAGTAATTTTAAATTTCCTCCATTTTATTCATTTAAAAATAATCATGTGATTAGTAATTTAATTTAATCAAGTCTCCTTTGACATCCATTGCTTTATTTTATTATTGTTATATATTTTTTTTGTAGAGATTGATA